GGCTGGCAGAGAAGAGGGGAGAGATTTGCTGACCGGCTCTGCGAGGACAGTGCAGACAATGAGATGGCCACCAAACCATTATTTTGTCTTTCAGAGGAACTGTTTAATTGGAAGAATTATTGTCTAATATTACCAATGCTAGAGTACTGCAATCAATTCTAGAGATTAGAATAGTGCTATAATTTACTTTCTATTATTCTGTTTTATGTTAAATTTGTAGAAATGGTTTATTGGCCCAAAAAGGATATATTTTTTTCCTAAAAATAACTCACTTTCTCACAAGGGGTGGGGAACCTTTTTTCTGCCAAGGGCCATTTGGATATTTATAACATGATTTTCAGGCCATACAAAATTGTCAACTTAAAAATTAGCCTGCTTTATTTCGTCAAACAGTTAGTTAATTCACCCCTAATGCCTTCGCAGGGCCAGACCAAGTGATTTCTTGGGCTCTACACCACCTTCGGACTGGACGTTCCCACTGATATACACACTGCTAACAGACTTCCTTAGCTACCTCCCTGTCTAAATATTGTTCACCCACTTCTTAAATGCATTTCTTAGTTTTGAATGGGTAAGTTAACAGCTTTCAAAATCATCAGTCATTGTAGCATTTTACTCTTGGAATAAGTAATAATAATAGCAGCTGGTTTGGCTCAGCGAATAGAGCATTGGCCTGCGGGCTAAAGAGTCCCGTGTTCAATTCCAGTCAAGGTCACTCACCTCGGTTGTAGGCTCGATCCCCAGCCCAGGGTGGGGTGCATGCGGGAGATAACCAATCGATATGTCTCTCTCACACTGATGTTTCTCTCTCTCTGTCTCTCCCCCTTCTTCCTCCCTTCCACTCTCTCAAAAAAATCAATGGAAAAATACCCTCAAGTGAGGATTAACAAAAACAAAAACAGCAGCAGGTATTGTACAGCACTAACTATGTGCCAGGTCCTACTCTCTGTGACACACATACACATACCCGCAACCAACCCTTATAACAACCCTCTGATGTAGTCCTGTTATTATTCCCATTTTGCAGATGAAGGAAATAGAGATTAAATAACTTGCCCTAACTACTACGTGGCTGAGCAGGGATTTGAACCCAGCACACTGGCTTGGAGCCCATAGACACCCTCCTGGAAGCTGACGGGTAAGTAAAAGGTAAATAGATGAAGGTGGGGGGAGGGGCTTGGAGGCCCAGAAAAAGGAGGCAGCAGCCTTGGAGAAGCTCTATGCCAAGGGTGGGGGTAGAGCAGGAGAAAGGTATTTGGCAGCATAAATAGGGGCCACCTGGTGGGCCCAGAGAGAGCACAGGCCCTCGGCAGGGGCCAGACCACACAGGACCATGCGGGTCAGGACAAGGAACTGAAAAGGGGCCTGAAGCCACCGGGGTCTTCACAAGGCTGAGGGCATGGAACTCATCGCCAGTGTGAAAGCCACTTGGGTGTGGCAACGGCTGCTAGAAGGTGAGCATGCAGGGAGGGAGCCCATGGGAGCCACCGTGACAGACCAGCTGACAACAGCTGAGCCTGTGACACGTGAAGGTAGTGGATTTAGAGGGTACCAATCATCAGGGCAGAGTGACAGACTGGATTTTGGGGGGAGAGGGACAAGAAGAAGGACGTCTCAAGGATGACTCCCGGAGTCTGATTTGTGCAACCAGTTGGATGGCAATGCTGCTCCCCAAGATGGACACCTGCCGAGGGCCCGAGGAGGGGGGACCTCAGCCCTGGACGCACTGCAGGAGGCCTGGATGTCCACAGGCAGGTGTCCAGCAGGAGGCAGACCCACAGGCCTGGAGTCCGAGCTGAGGGTGGGAGCCCAGGCATACACTCTGAGTCAGTGTGTGACGACAATTCAAGCTGCACAGTGTGTGAGTTCCTTCAGAAAGACGCTAGAAAGGGAAGGTTAAGGCAGAGCCCTGAAGACTCTTTTTTTTTTTTTAAATATATTTTATTGAGTCTTTACAGAGAGGAAAGGAGAGAGACAGAGAGTCAAAAACATCAATGAGAGAGAAACATCGACCAGCTGCCTCCTGCACACTCCCCACTGGGGATGCACCCGCAACCAAGGCACATGCCCCTGACCGGAATCAAACCCAGGACCCCTCAGTCCGCAGGCCGACGCTCTATCCACTGAGCCAAACCGGCTTCGGCCTGAAGACTCATATTTTAAAAGACCAGAGAGACAAGGAGGAGTCGGCAAAGGAGCTGGGAAGCAGGAGGAAAGCCAGAGAGTGCAGGGATCCCAGAAACCAATGGCAGGGTGCCCTAAGATCAATAGCCCCGGCCAGGTGGCTCAGCTGGTTGGAGCATTGTCCCGCACACCAAAACAAGGTCCCAGTCAGGGCACATACCTAGGTTGTGGGTTCGATCCCCAGTCAAGGTGTATATGGGAGGCAACAAATTAATGTTTTTCTCTCACATCAATGTTTCTCTCTCTCTCTCTCTCTAAACACATCCTCTGGTGAGGATTTTTAAAAAAAGGATCAAGCCCTAGACGGTTTGGCTCAGTGGATAGAGCGTCGGCCTGAGACTGAAGGGTCCTGGGTTCGATTCTGGCCAACGGCACATGCCCGGGTTGTGAGCTCGTGCAGGAGGCAGCCGATTAATGATTCCCTCTCATCATTGATGTTTCTATCTCTCTCACCCTCTCCCTTCCTCTCTAAAATCAATAAAAACATATTTTTTTTAAAAAGGGGAGAAAATGAAGAAAGAACACACACCCCAAGAAAGGTGGCTGACAGAATGTGGGACAAGAGGAGGAGACTGAAAATAGGAGAAGTGGGGCATGTTTAAAATGCTTGTTGGCATCGGGAAGGCCGGGGAGGGTTCGGGGGC